AATACAAGAGGCCAGTGCCGATCGATTCCCGTCTGCGGTTGCGTTCGCGTCTATAGGATTGGAGCGGTGCTATAGCTGTAGCGTGTCGACGCGGTTACAGCACGTCACAACGCGTCGACGCGAAGTCTGAACACTGCCTGCTGCCGCGAATAGCACCTCCTGATCCACATACAATGAAGGAGATAAGAAGAGTAGTTTATCAGTAAAAGAGAAAATATACAAAGAAGATTACAACTGTCAAGCAAATATATGGCAAAATACTACATACAATTACTGTTCATGAAAAGTCTTCCCAGAAAAACTTTCCAATCGGAAAAAATCTCAACCGAGAAAATAAGTGATCGCCAGAGTGAAAATCGGCGAAAATGATTCGAAGGCACAGCAAAGTCATTATCACAGTGGAAAGATTTCCGAAGAACTTCGTCAGTCCACATCGGTAACCACGAAGAATTCCTCGTCACTCCCCAGTTTGAAACAGTTGTCCTCACTCACGATCACGCCTGTCAGACTGTCCTGGGCTGCAAGGAGTTCATCGATGCGTAGATCCACAGGTACTTCCTTCGGGTAGCCATCCTGTAATTTCAGCCTCTCTAGAAATTATTCACAAAATTTCTAACGTGAGGTCCAATAGAGGAATGAATTGATTGGATGGGATGTACTAACAGTTAGTAACAGTTTAGCGCACGTGGGAAAAACAAGTTACGCGAGGATCATTAAACTTCTCAGAGCTACCGGTTCTCAAAGTCACATTACGTGGTTGCAAGTCGACCACACAATTATGTGTGAGAGCCAACAGTATGTAGTACACACAATGGGAAGACAACGGATTGTAACGCCACACAGCAGTCGTACGTGCATGGACGTCGATACTTGCAATGGGCGGGGTTTGCAGAGACCACAAGTTCCCTGACGCCCTTGCTTCACGGCTCAATAAGAGTCTGCTAATACGCGCTTTTCACAAGTAGAAAGGATCTCGCCGCACAGTATGCGTCTTGAAGAAAATACTCACCATTTCCTTGATTATATCGTCAACAGTTGCTTTCTTCACCCTTGTTAGTATTTTATAAAGTTCGCTAGCCAGTCCGCTTTGAATTATATGGAATTTCGCATTCAGAATGCAGTCGACCGGCTGTACCTGGAAAAATGCGAAGTCTGTTTCACGTTGAAAGTACCCAGTATACCTAGATCTATCACAACCGGAAGCAGGTAAGCGACAACAGTTGGTGGAAAACGACTGATACGAACAATATGATACAGTCTTGTCGCTCGGCACCGCGCCAAACCCATTCCGCCTGGCACGCCCCTTCGTCCGCAGCGAAAGAGACTGTAGGCAGGGGGGAGACAATTACAGTTAGATGATCTTGTGACTCGTATCTAAAAATTCCAACCTTTTGTACAGGGTGCATTCCACCCGCTTTGGATGTCTCAGATGGTTAGTCTCTCAAATCTAAACGCCAAGAGCTTCGTGCCTTGTTCACAAGACGGAGATCGTGGTGTTGGAATGGACGAAGTGTTCGAGGCGGCTTCCCCCACCAACGGCTGGCCTTAGGTGTAGTTTGCGCTAACCTCATGGTCCTGGCTGTAAGGCCGCGTTTATACATCGCGCTGCTGAGGACCGGTGAGGCTGCGAAAAAGGTCAGATACAAGTCGGTTCTGTCGACCACGCCCACACCAATGTTTTTCCTTATGTCCGTAATCATTTTCGCAGATTTAGCTGATCATTCCCACACTCGAACGGATTCTAATCAATCGATAAGTATATCTATCTATATCTATCCATTTATGTATTCTCTCATTGCTCGATTCTCATTCTCAGATTCTCAGAAGGGCGTAATTTACGAACGCTGCGCTGGGCAATGCGCGGCAAAGTCTGGCGCGTTGAGGCCCGATCCTTCTTCATATCCCAGGCTATCGAATTTTCTATTCATCATTTCATTTGGACCTGCTTTCAGCTGTGTAAGATTATGAAATACTCCGAAACTGTTATTGAACTGTTATTTAGACACATCAACTAGGCTGTATTATTCCGGGCATTATCCCAGATGAGCTATTTACTTCCCAATAGAAGTGATAGCAAGTTTTGTGCTCCTTTTTCAGGTAGCGTCCAAAGCTCTAGACAGAATCGAAGAGCGTTCCCTGATATTTACCCTATAGCTTCCAGATAGATGAAATAACGTAATTTACGAACGCTGCGCTGGGCAATGCGCGACTTTGCCGCGCATTGCCCAGCGCAGCGTTCGTAAATTACGCCCTTCTGAGAACTGAGAATGAGAATCGAGCAATGAGAGAATACATAAATGGTCTAGATACTTATCGATTGATTAGAATCCGTTCGAGTGTGGGAATGATCAGCTAAATCTGCGAAAATGATTACGGACATAAGGAAAAACATTGGTGTGGGCGTGGTCGACAGAACCGACTTGTATCTGACCTTTTTCGCAGCCTCACCGGTCCTCAGCAGCGCGATGTATAAACGCGGCCTTACAGCCAGGACCATGAGGTTAGCGCAAACTACACCTAAGGCCAGCCGTTGGTGGGGGAAGCCGCCTCGAACACTTCGTCCATTCCAACACCACGATCTCCGTCTTGTGAACAAGGCACGAAGCTCTTGGCGTTTAGATTTGAGAGACTAACCATCTGAGACATCCAAAGCGGGTGGAATGCACCCTGTACAAAAGGTTGGAATTTTTAGATACGAGTCACAAGATCATCTAACTGTAATTGTCTCCCCCCTGCCTACAGTCTCTTTCGCTGCGGACGAAGGGGCGTGCCAGGCGGAATGGGTTTGGCGCGGTGCCGAGCGACAAGACTGTATCATATTGTTCGTATCAGTCGTTTTCCACCAACTGTTGTCGCTTACCTGCTTCCATAAATGGTTGAGAGCAGGATTATCGCCGCGCCAAACCCATCCCGCCTGACACGCCAGTTCATCTGTAGCGAACGAGACAGTACGTACATACACAAAAATAGATTACGCACGACATAATGAACCACATCACTGCAATGGAAAATCTTGTGAGTATCTTACTTTCGTCCTATTAGGAGGCGCCGACAGTCGGAACATTCTGAGCTCGAACATTCGTTTTATGTCCATGTATCGACCGTATCGCTTCCACGAAAGTTTTTCATTTCTACGGAGCGGACTGACATAATCCTGGAATAGACAAAATTTTATCATGCTTGTCGTGAAGTACACAAATTGAGGATTTCAGAAAAATAATCAAGTTGTTACAGACGAAATGATGGATTCTTATGTGTAGCCCATACAGATGTACATATAGTCCATATAGAAGCGACTTGGCAATGAGCCACGTCTCTTCGCCTTCGTCACCACTGAGGTCCCTAGTGATTCCTATCTCATCGTAGCTTTGCGAGACTCCATTATCACGACGACATATGCATGTGAGCACAGGGTGGAACATCGTGATGTTTGAAATAGCGGTGTCAGTAT